TAGTATATCTTGAAATAAGGTGGTATAAAACATCTAGCCTTGTTTTATATTTTCATGATTATTTTGGCTAGTCTAAGTATTTTGCATTTCTGTATACAGTTTATTTTATTTTATTTTTTAAAAGATTTTATTCATTTGACAGAGACACAGCAAGAGAGGGAACACAAGCAGGGGTAGTGGGAGAGGGAGAAGCAGGCTTCCCACCAAGCAGGAGCCTGATGTGGGGCTTGATCCCAGAACCCTGGCATCATGACCTGAGCCGCAGGCAGCGGCTTAACCCACTGAGCCACCCAGGTGCCCCTCCAGCTGGAATTTTTATTGATATCTGTGTTTGATCCCTAGATCAATTTGGGGAGAATTGACAACATTATCTCTTCATTTATTTATGTCTTTTAATTTTTCTCAGGGGTCTTTTATAGTTTTCATTATAGCGTTCTGCACATTTTTCATTAGATTTATTCCTAAGTACTTGATGTTTTTAAATACTATTATAAATGATATTTTAAAATTTCATTTTCAGGGCATCTCCATGGCTCAGTTGGTTGGCTTTCTGCCTTCGTCTTCTGTCATGGTCACTGGGTCCTGGGTTTGAATGTTGCATAGGACTTCCTGCTCGGGATCATGACCTGGGCCAAAGGCAACATTGCACTGGGTAGGACGTACAGTATAGTGTTGAATAGAAGTGGAAGTGGTGAAAGTGAACATCCTTGCCATGTCTTAGTCTTTTGGAGTAAATAAGTCCTTATTTCACCATTAATATGATGTTAGCTGGAATTGTTTTGTAGATGCCACTACCCTCCCCTGTTTGATATCACGAGTGGATGTTGAATTTTGTCAGATTATCTTTCTGCATTGTGTGGTTTTTTTTTTTTTAAAGAAACATCTTTTTTTTTTTTTTAAAGATTTTATTTATTCACTTGCCAGAGATCACAAGCAGGCAGAGAGGCAGGCAGAGTGAGAGAGGAAGGGAAGCAGGCTCCCTGCTGAGCAGAGAGCCTGATGCGGGGCTCGATCCCAGGACCCTGAGACTGTGACCTGAGCTGAAGGCAGAGGCTCCAACCCACTGAGCCACCCAGGAGCCCCTGTTTTTTGTGTTTTGTTTTTAGATTTTATTTGAGCGAGATGGAGAGTGAGAGAGCATAAGCAGAGGGAGCTGCAGAGGGAGTGGCAGAGGGAGAGGGAGAAGCATACTTCTCACTGAGCAGGGAGCCTGATGCGGGGCTCTATCCCAGGACCCTGGGATCATGACCTGAACAAGGCAGATGCTTAACCGACTGAGCCACTCAGGCACCCCTATTTATTTATTTATTTATTTATGATTTATTTTTAAGTAATCTCTGCACCTAATGTGGGGCTTGAACTCACAACCCTGAGATTGAGAGTTGCATGCTCTACTGACTGAGCCAGCCAGGCATCCGTATGTTTTCCGCATTTACTGATTTTATACATGATTTCCTCATTTATTTTGTTAACGTGGTAGAAGACATTAATTTTATTTATTTATTTATTTATTTGACAGAGACACAGTGAGAGAGGGAACACAAGCAGGGGGAGTGAGAGAGGGAGAAGAAGTAGGCTTCCCGCTAAGCAGGGAGTCCAGTGCAGTGTTCAGTCCCAGCACCCTGGGGTCGTAACCTGAGCCAGAGGCAGAGGCTTAGCGACCAAGCCCCCAGGCACCTGGCATGGATTTTTTTAGTTAAACTTTTTATTTGAGATACTTGTAGATTCGTATGCACTTGTAAGGAATAATACAGAAAGATTCCATATACCCCTCCTAGTTTTTCTCATTGATAACATCTTCAAAAACTGTAATACAGTGTCACTACCAAGATACTGACATTGATGTGGTCCAGATACAGAATATTCCCATTACTATAAGGATCCCTGGTGTTGTCCTTTTTATAGCCATCCTCATTTCCCTCCTGCCTCACACCCTTCCTAAACCCTGGGAACCACTCATCTCCATGTCTGTAGCTTGTAGTTTCAAGAATGTTAACATAGATTGATTCCTGCAGAATGTAACTTTTTAACTTTTTCTCCATGGTATGGAGGTACCAGTTTGCTTACCCATTCACCCATTGAAGATCATCTGGGTTTCTAGTTTGGAGCTATTTTTGTGAACTTGACTTCCTTTCTCTGGGATGAATGACTAGTAGTACAGTTGCTCAGTCATGTAATGGTTGCATGTTCATGTTTTTTGTTTTTTTTTTGTTTTGTTTTGTTTTAAATAGATGGCCTAATTGTTTACCAAAATGGCCACATCATTTAATAGTCTCATCAGCAATGTATGAGGAATCCAGTTTTTCCACTTTCTTTCCAGGACTTGGTAGTGTCACTGTTTATTTATTTTAGCTATTCTGATGGGTGTGTAGTGATCTTCACGGGAGGAGTTTTAATTTGCCTTCCCCTAATGGTTAATGATGTTGAACATTTTTTCATGTGCTTGCTTGGTGTCTGTTTATTTTCTAGGTTGAAATGTCTTCTTGTGTTTTTTGACCTTTTTAAAAATTGGATTGTTTGGTTTTTTTAACTACCGGGTTTTGAGAGTTCTTTATACTAGATATTAGTTCTTTGTCTTTTTCAGATATGTGGTTTGTAAATGTTTTTTCCCAGCCTGTAGTTTTTGTTTTTATCTTCCTACCAGGGTCTTTACAGAACAAAAGTTTTTAGTTTACAAGAACTCCAGTGTACCAGTTTGTGTTTTTATTGATTATGCTTTTGGTATCTAAGAATCTTTTGCCTCACCCTAGATCTTGAAGGTTTCTCTTATGTTTTCCCTAAAAGTTTTATTGGTTGACATACTACATTTAAGTCTATAATCATTTTTAGTAAATGTGTAAATTATGACACTTAAGTCAAAGTTTATTTTTACTGATGAATATCCATTTGCTCCACCACCATTTGTAAAAGCTGTGTCATCTTTGTTGAATTACTTTTGCACTTTGTCAGAGTCAGTTCAGGGTTTATTTTGTGTGGGTCTATTTCTGGGTTTTCTGTTCTATTCCATTGATTTATATATCTGTCCTCCTACCTGTACCATGTAGTCTTGATTACTATACCTATATAATAAGTCTTGAAATTGAATAGACTGATTCCTCCCATTTTCTTGTCAGAATTGATTTAGCTATAAAATAGTTGCATAGTTTGTATGATTTGATGTCTAGGTAAATTTTATCTTTAGTATTTGTTCTTTAAAGCATTTATAAAATTCAATGTTATTTTTATTCACTAATATGCATGCTACTACTAAAAAAAGTAAAACAAATTTTTTTCAATTCTAGTATAGTTAACGTACAGGGTTATACTAGTTTGAGGTGTACAACATAGTAATTCATCAATTCTATACATAGAGCTTATCAAGATGAGTGTACTCTTGATCCCTTCACCTATGTCACCCATCTCCCACCCACTTCCTATTTGGCAACCGTCTGTTTGTTCTCTATAGTTAAGAGTCTATTTTTTATCTGATCTCTCCCCCCCACACCCTGCTTTCCTTGTTTGTTTTGTTTTTTAAATTGCATATATGGGGGCACCTGGGTTAAAGCCTCTGCCTTCAGCTCAGGTCATGATCCCAGGGTCCTGGGATTGAGCCCCGCATCGGGCTCTCTGCTCAGCGGGGAGCCTGCTTCCTCCTCTCTCTCTGCCTGCTTCTCTGCCTGCTTGTGATCTCTGTCTGTCAAATAAATAAATAAAAATCTTAAAAAAAATAAATTGCATATATGAAATCATATAGTAATTGTCTTTCTCTGACTGGCTTATCTTTTTTTTTTAAGATTTTATTTATTTATTAGCAAGAGAGAGCAATGGGTTAGGGAGGGCAGAGGGAGAGGAACAAGCAGACTCCCTGCTCAGCGAGGAGCCAGACAGGGGCCTCAATCCCAGAACTTTGGGATCGTGATCTGAGCTGAAGGCAGACACTTAACCAGCTGAGCCACCCAGGTGCCCCATGACTGGTTTATTTTGTTTAGCATTATACATTCTAGCTCCATCCATGTTGTTGCAAATGGCATGATTTCAGTTTTTTTTGGTGTGTGTGGCCAAGTAATATTCTGTGTGTGTGTGTGTGTGTGTGTGTAAACACCATACCTACTCTTTGAGTAAATACCCAGTAGTGCAATTACTGGATCATAGATAGGTTAGTTCTGTTTTTAATTTTTTGACGAACCTCCTTGCTGTTTTCCAGTGGCTACACCAGTTTGCATTTTCATCGAAAGTTTTACTTTATTTATTTATCTATTTATTTAAAGATTTTATTTACTTAACAGAGAGAAAGTGCACAGCAGGAGAAGCAGTAGGCAGAGGGAGAGGGAGAAGCAGGCTTGTCTAACGGGGGGGGGGGGCACATGCAGGGCTTGATCTCAGGACCCCAGGATCATGACCTGAGCCGAAGGCAGACGCTTAATGACTTAGCCACCCAGATGCCCCAAAAGTCTTATTTTTTATACTTTACTACTTCAGTTAAGGATGTGACAGAATATGCAGTGGTTTTTTTTGTTTTTTTTTTTAAAGATTTATGTGTTAGGGCACCTGGGTCGCTCAGTCAGTTAAGCATCTGCCTTTGGCTCCGGTCATGATGATCCCAGAACTGGGATCAAGCCCTGTCTCAGGCTCCCTGCTCAGTGGGGAGTCTGCTTCTCCCTCTCCCTCTGCCCCACCCCCCAGTCATGCGTGCGTGTGCATGCCCCCCCAAATCTTTAAAATAAATAAGAAGATTTATGTATTAGCGTGCATGCACACAGAAAGGGGGGCCGGGCGGGGAGGGATAGAGGGGGAAGGAAAGAATCCCAAGCGGACTCCCCACTGAATGCAGGGTCCTATCTCATGACCCTGGGTTCTATCCCACAACCTGAGCCAAAATCAAGAGTCGGATGCCTAATGGACTGAGCCCAGGTGCCCCCAGAATATGTATTATTAAGTTTCAGATCCTGACATAATATTTGCTGAGTTTAATGAAAGGTTTCTCTGTTTCTCAAGATTTGCATGACTCCTTCTCTCTACAGTGGTCTTACATCAGAAACATGGCTACAGATTGGCTGGGCAGTATTGTGTCCATCAACTGCGGAGATAGCTTGGGTGTCTATCAGGGAAGAGTGTCAGCCGTGGATCAGATCAGCCAGACCATTTCTCTCACCCGGCCTTTCCACAATGGAGTGAAGTGCCTCGTGCCAGAAGTCACCTTCAGGTGAGTGTCCTGACTGATTTCTTTAAATCTAGCCTGGTGGTCTGTGGAGCTTGAATCTAGGTCTAGTTGCCCACATTCTCTTAGATAGGGCTGCTTTTGATTAGTGTCTTGTCAGGGGTGAGACTTTGCAGTCTTAAACCTCATAGTCTAGCTGTTGTTTCAGTATAGACTTTGTGTGGTAATTAGCTTTCAGCTACGAATCAGGGTTTGTGAAACCTTTTTCTTAGCTCTGTCAAGCCCTCAATATTCTTATTTAAATGGGTCAAATTTGGAATAAGCTTTCTATTTTCTTTGGCTTTTGTTATTTGTGTTTTCTAAGGCCATATCTAAGGCCTTTACTGATCTCCCCACCCCCACATTAATGTACCTCTCTTTGTAGATTTGTGTCTTAATTTATCTCTAGAAGCACACTGTCACCAATAGCTGATGTCCTTAGTTACAGGAACATGTGTTTTTTAGTGTTTGTCTGCAGGGACGCCTGGGTGGCTTGGTTGGTTAGGCAGCTGCCTTCGGCTCGGGTCATGATCCCAGCGTCCTGGGATCAAATCCCACATCGGGCTCCTTGCTCGGCGGAGAGCCTGCTTCTCCCTCTGCCTCTGCCTGTCATTCTGTCTGCCTGTGCTCGCTCTCTCTCCCTCTCTCTCTGACAAATAAATAAAATCTAAAAAAAAAAAAAAAAAAAATCTCCATTCTTAGGTTAAAATGGCAACAAAAACAACAACAAAACAGTCAGGCAAGAACTTCCTTGACTTTCTGAACAATACCTTCACTTAATCTTTTCTCTAGGAGTATCCATTCTTAATGTCTTAGCCCTTCTGAAGACTCAGTAGAAGGCATGCCCTCTGTGTTTAGGGCTACCCTTATCCCATATGCTTTATATACTTACTATCCTTTTCTGTCTCCTTTGACACTGTTCTCTGTCTCTTTTGTGTCTTCATTTTCAACCTTCATACCTCATTTTCCTCTTTGCATTCTAACGTTCCCAGCCTTCCCCCACAGGTCACACCCTCCTGCACACCCACATCCACTTACACACACGCACACCCACACACCTGCCACATCTTGGTGTTTGCCATTAGGTGCTGCCCTGTCATTTCCCTGCTCTTTATACCCACAGTTCTTTTCAGAGCAAAACAGTCTGCTTTCATTTCCTTTGTGGCCTCATTCTCTAGTCCTTCCTTAACCCCACATTTATCTTTCTTCTAACTTTATCATCTTGCTGAATGAGCTCTTGCCAAGGTTACAAATGACCAAATAGCCAAATTCAGTGGCAGTGTTTTAATGCTAACCTTAGTCAGATGCTCCCTAAGTGTTGAAGTGCCCTCTTTAATTTCTCTGTCACCCCTTTGGGTTTTCTTTCCATGTATTCCTCCATTCCTTTACATCCCCCCGGCACCAGATTCCTTTTCTTCTCACTTTTTAAGATTGGTTTATTCAGTTCGGTTTATTTTTTATTCTTTTCTTAGTCTGTAATCTCCCTAGATCATTTCATGTGTACTTCTTACACATTAATGAAACTCCAGATCTTTTTTTTTTTTTTTTTTGAGAGAGATCACAAGTAGGCAGAGAGGGGGAAGCAGGCTCCCTGCTGGGCAGAGAGCCTGACTCGGGACTCAATCCCAGGACCCTGAAATCATGACCTGAGCCGAAGGCGGAGGCTTAACCCACTGAGCCACCCAGGCATCCGGAGACTCCAGGTCTTTAATTAAGACCCATTATCTGAACTCCAGACACTTACTTTGTCTATTGGCCATTTCTAGGTGGATATCCCAGAGAATATCTTACATTTAAGAATTTCAAAGCTGAGCTCATTATATCACCTACAGGTTTCTTCTTCCAAAGGTCTGCCCTTAATTGGTGGCTAATGACAGCTTTCCAAATTAGAAACTTAGAATCATTGTAAATCCTTCTTTCTCTTTGTTCATCATATTCAATTAGTCACCAAACCCTGTGGATTCCAAATGTCTCTTGGGTTCATCCTCTCCTCTCCCTTTGCACTGTCACTTGTCTTGTTTATCCTCTCTTATTTCTTGCCTGGTCTCCTATTGGGTGCTTTTCCCTCTAGTTTTTCCACCTTTTCTATAGTCACCAGAAAAGTCTAATGTGATTATGATTTGTCCCTGATTACCTCCACAGCTTTACCTCTTGGTGGCTTTCCACAAGCATCTTTCCCGTTAGTAACAACATGATGTTGGCATTTTCTCAGGTGGGCCACATTTTCTCAGTCTCTGATCGCACCCCCCCGCTACACTGCTGGGCCAGCTCTTATATTCCCTCCCTGCTCAGGCTTTGTTTAAATGTTTCATCTATTTCTGCCAGAGTAGCTTACATATTTTGCTTTTGGGTTCTTTGGCCCCCTATACACGCCTCTGTCACAGTATTTAACACTTTTGATTATCTACTTGTTTTTTTCCACTGACCAGACTCTTCGTTTTGGACATGTGTTGGTTTTCGTCTCTATCTAGTTCATTCCTAGCACAGGGCAGACCATATAGTAAGTGCTGTATATACACTTATTGAATGACAAAGTGAGTGAATGAATGAAGAAAACGCTATTAGGCATTCTGAAAATCTAAGATGCTGGTGATAGTTTTGTGATTAATAATAGGTCTCTTTAAAGGCCAGTGCTGTCACTTGACTGTTGTTGCTGAGCCTTGTCTTTAAGTATTCTACTACTTTTCCTCACTTTTGCCTCTGATACTTCAATGAAATGGAGCCCTGGATTAAGAGGTACAGATTTCCAGTTACAAGTAAGTCATAGGAATGTAAAGTACAGCATATAAAATAACTTTATATGGTGACAAATGGTCATTAGGCTTACTGTGGTGATTATTTCATGGTATATATAAATATCAGATCACTATGTTGTACACCTGGAACTAATGCAATATTGTATATTAACTATACTTCAGTTGGGAAAAAAACAAAAACACTGGTCTGCAAAAGTGTAGCTGGTTTCTGTTGATCCCAGTTTCATAATTTTTATTACTGTTAGACTTTGTGTGTGTGTGTGTGTGTGTGTGTGTGTGTGTGTGTTTTACACTGCCTGTATTATTTTTTAATGTGGTAAGGTAGCCACAACATAAAATTTACCATTTTAACCACTTTTCAGTGTACAATTCAGTGGCATTAAGTACATTCACATAATGGGCAACTGTCACCACTCTCCATCTCGAACTTTTCCATCCTCCCACACTGAAACTTCATACCCTGTAAACTAACTACAGTCCCCCTTCCTCTGGCCCTAATAATCACCTTTTTACTTTCTTTCGCTATGACTTTGATGGTTCTAGATATCTCATATAAGTGGGATCATTTAATCACTGTCCTTTTGTGATGGCTTATTTTACTTAGAAATAGTGTCTTCAAGGTTCATCCATATTGTAGCATGTGTCAAAATTTCCCTCCTTTTAAAGGCTGAGTAAATATTTCACTGTGTGTTTGTACCGTATTTTGTTTAGCCATTCATCTTATGGGGGGACTTGGGTTTGTACCTTTTGGTTATTGTGAAGTATGTTCTCATGAACATTGGTTGTGACACCATTACAGTTTTGAGACTTGGATTCTTTTGTGTATTTCAGGGCAGGTGACATTACGGAATTAAAAATTCTGGAGATACCAGGTCCTGGAGAAAACCAACATTTCGGAGACCTTCATCAGACAGAATTAGGCCAGTCTGGTGTTGGGTACCAAGTGGGTATCAATCAGAATGGCACGGGCAAGCTGGTGAAGAAGCCAGCTTCTTCCAGCAGTGCCCCTCAGAATATCCCTAAGAGGACAGACGTGAAGAGTCAGGATGTTGCCATTTCCCCACAGCAGCAACAGTGCTCAAAGAGCTACGTGGACAGGCACACGGAGTCCCTGAGTCAGTCCAAAAGTTTCCGCCGTCGGCACAACTCTTGTAAGTTGGATCAAGCTGATGTTTCTTCTTAACCTTGTGTTTCAGGCCTATAAGCTCTTATCCACTGCTGTTCTTTAAAGAAATTCTTTCTTACCCTCATAAAAAAGGATGCTGGCAGAGCTTCACAAAAATACAGCATGATCAACTTCATGCAGGGCTAGTCCCTCAGAATATTAAGGGAAAGAAAATAAATAAATTAAATAAATAAATAAATAAATAATCCTTTTAAAAAAAAAAAAAGACAGGAAGGGATTGGCCTATGCCTCTCTGTGATCAGACAGTTTCTAACAGACTACAGTTTTAAATTTGCTGTATTCCCTGTCCTTACTGACACATCAAGGAGGAAATGCACAGGTGTATTGATTGCCCAGTTTTGTTTGGCACTAACAAATTGTTGAATGCCATTTAATCACTATGGAACCATAGGTAATTCACTAGAATGTGGTTTGCTCTTTAGCATATTCAGTTATGTTATATGTAATGTTATAAAAAGTGAAGTATAGGGGGACCTGGGTGGGTCAGTCCTTAAGTGTCTGCCTTCGGCTCGGGTCATGATCCCAGGGTCCTGGGATCAAGCCCCGCATTGGGCTATCTGCTTGGCGGGAAGCCTACTTCTCCCTCTCCCACTCCCCCTGCTTGTGTTCCCTTTCTCGCTATGTCTCTCTCTGTCAAATAAATAAATAAAATCTTAAAAAAAAAAAGTGAAGTATAACATTCACCAAAATCTGTATGGCGTCTGTCTTAGGGGCCGACAGTTTCAAGTTTTGAAGATGCCTTGATTTTGTGAACAAGCTATTGAAATTTTGGAAATTAAGGGGCGCCTGGGTGGCTCAGTGGGTTCAGGTCATGATCCCAGGGTACTGGGGATCGAGCCCCACGTCAGGCTCTCTGCTCAGCGGGGAGCCTGCTTTCCTTCCTCTTTCTCTGTCTGCCTCTCTGCCTACTTGTGATCTTTGTGTCAAATAAATAAAAATCTTAAAAAAAAATTTTGGAAATTTAAAAAAAAAAAATTTCTGGACATTTTCCTTCATTGCTTAGGTAACTCTGAATCAGGGCACCTAGGTGGCTTAGTCAGTTACGTGTCTGCAGTTGGCCCAGGTCATGATCCTGGGGTCCTAGGATCAAGCTCCACATGGGCTCCCCACCCAGTGGGGAATCTGCCTCTCCCTTTCCCCCTCCCCACTGCTTTTGCATGTGCTCTCTCGCTCTCACAAATGAATATAATCTTAAAAACAAAACAACTGTCTAAATTGACAATAATTGAAAACCTGAGAGTGAAATTGAATTGTTACTTTGGTATCCTTGGAAAAAACTGTAGAATGCTTGGATAGAAAATTTGTTCTTTCCATTTCAACTTTAACCCTCACTACTTTGCTTTACTCTCCCTTTCTGATTTTTAAAAAACGTGTATTTATTTATTTATTTTAGAGAGTGAGCTTGCACGTGCCACGTGCCTGTGTGTACAGGATGAGAGGAAGGAGGAGCCAGAGGGAGAGAATCTTTTTTTTTTTTTGTAATTTTATTTTTTTCAATGTTCCAAGATTCATTGTTTATGCACCACACCCAGTGCTCCATGCAACACTTGTGCTCCATAATACCCACCACCAGGCTCACCCAACCCCCCACCCCTTCCCCTACAAAACCCTCAGTTTGTTTCTCAGAGTCCACAGTCTCTTATGGTTCGTCTGAGAGGGAGAGAATCTTAAGCAGGCTTCATGCCCAGAATTCGGACTCTGAGATCATGACCTGACCTGAACAGAAACCAAGAGGCGGGTGCTCAACTGACTGAGCCACCTAGGTGCCCCTACTCTCGTTTTAAAAAGCTCTTTTTCTTGGGTTGCCTGGGTGGCTCAGTGGGTTAAAGCCTCTGCCTTCGGTTCAGGTCATGATCTCAGGGTCCTGGGATCGAGCCCCGCATCAGGTTCTCTCTGCTCAGTGGGGAGCCTGCTTCCCCCTCTCTCTCTGCCTGTTGTGATCTCTGATAAATAAATAAAATCTTAAAAAAAAAACAAAACTCTTTTTCTTTACCAAAAACATGGACTGTTTGTTTAAAGTTCAAATATTCAAGCAGTTTATAGTCTCATGTACTTGGAGACAACCTTCATTAGCAATTTTTTCCTAAATATTTTTTCCTCCTGTTATTAACATCTTACATCACTAAGGTAGATTTGTTATAATTAATGAACCAATGTTGATATATTATTATTAATTAAAATCAGTATTTCATTCTTATTACCTGTTCTCATTGTAGACTTCTGTCCCACACACCGCCTTACATTTAGTAGTCAATCTCCTCTTGCTTCTGACGGTTTCTCAGACTCTAGTTGGTTTTGGTGACCTAGACTATTTTGATAAGTACTGGTCAGGTATTTTGTAGAATAGCCCTTCATTGGTATTTGATGTTTTTCTCATGATTAGATTGGGTTATGTGTTTGGGGGAGGAAGACCAAGGTGATAAGTTATAAGTTATTTTCATCACATCGTATTAAGGGCATGTGATATCAGTATGGTTTATGACTTGATGTTGACCTTGATATCCGGGCTGAGGGAATGTGTGTGTCAAATTTCTCCTCTGTAGAGGTTTTCCCACCCCCTACCATATTGAAAGGACGTCTGTGTGTGCAGTCCATACCTAAGGAGTAGAAAGATATGCAGCGTATCTGCATAAATTATTCGGAATTCTTCTACATCAGAGATTTGTCTCTTCTCCCCTGTTTACTCAGTTATGTATTTTTTATCAGTAAGGACTCGTAGTTATCTTCTACCTTGGGTTATAATTCATCACTGCTTTATTTTAGTGCTCAAATTGTTTCTGTTTTTGCAACTGGTAGCTGTTTTAGTTAGCTCCTGTGTTCCTTTGACATTCCCCCATTCTTGTGTGTGTGTGGGGGGTGTTCCCTACTACTTCTCTACTTTCTGGCAGTACAAGATGCTCCAGGTTTATCTTCTTTATTTCCTACCCTACCCTAGAATTAACCATGTCTCCAGGGAGCCCTGTTTCTTTTATTGGAGAATGGTATTACAAGCCACTATCTGGGTGCTAGATGTGCTCATTGCTACTAAGTGTTGCCTTTTGGCTGACAGAGCAAGGAAATAGGTATCTGTATACATGTATAGACGTGTATCTATTATTATTTTCTATATGACTTTCTGTACTATATTAAGTTAATGTGAGTTCATACGGTTGTGTCCAACTCTAACCCATTACCATGTCGCATCATTCTAGCTGCCTCCTTTTTTTATGTGTAATTTCTCGCTCTAGCAATGAGAGACCTGTCTCCTACTATCTGCCATCCATTGGCTTAAGTGATTCCATTCTGCATGGATATAGCACTATCAGAGATAACAATCTGCACCCACACTCCCTTCATTGACTTTTTTTTTTTTTCAAAAGATTTTATTAATTTATTTGACAGAGAGAGATCACAAGTAGGTAGATAGGCAGGCAGAGAGAGAGAGGAGAAAGCAGGCTCCCTGCCAAGCAGAGAGCCCAATGCGGGACTCGATCCCAGGACCCTGAGATCATGACCTGAGCTGAAGTCAGAGGCTCAACTCACTTAGCCATCCAGGTGCGCCCCCTTCATTGACTTTTTTTGCTACAAATGTAGCAGATTGTTTTGTCCCCTTCTGCCGTCTGTCTTGGTATCCTCCCACCGTCTGTCTTGGTATCCTTCCACCTCCTCAATGGTATTTTAAAAATTGCCATACACTAAGGCTAATTCTTTTTTAAAGATTTTATTTATTTGAGAGGGAAAGTGAGAGAGAAAGAGAGCATCAGCTGGGGAAGGAGGAGAGGGAGAAGCAGACTCTGCACTGAGTAGGGAGCCTGGGGAGGGATTTCGCTTAACCAGCTGAGACCCAGGTGCCCCATGGGCTTATTCTTTGTGCTCTTAAGTTCTTTGGGTTTTAACAAATACAGTGCCTTGTATCCATCATTACAGTATTGTACAGGATCCCTGTTTCACCATTTCAGTCCTTTCCCGTTATCCTCCACGACCTCTCCCCGACCTCAGCAACTGCTGATCCTTTCACCATTTCTCCAGTTTTGCCTTTTCCAGAATATCACATAATTAAAATCATGCAGTATGTAGCTTTTTGAGACAGGCTTCTTTCACTTATTATCTGTATAAGATTCATTCATGTTTTTTGGTGGCTGGATAGCTCATTTCCTTTTATTGCTGAACAATATTCCACTGTATGGATGTGTCCAAGTTTGCCTATCTATTTATCTATCAAAGGGCATCTTAGTTGCTTCCAGCTTTTGGTGATTATGAATAAAACTGACATAAACATTTGTGTGTGGGTTTTGTGTGGACTTAAGTTTTCAGATCAGTTGGGTAAATACCTAGGAGTGTGGTTGCTGGATGTTATGGTAAGAGTGTCTTTCTAATTTTCCCCCCTTACCAACAATTATACCAGCTCTCTTGAAAGAGTGCAGTTAAGTTCAAAACAATTTATTTGATCTTTACTAAGTCATTGGTAAAAAAGTGGGATCACTCTCAAAAGCATTCCCTGGTAGATGTTTCTTCTGCTTTTGCTGGTTGGTATTCAAGTGCACATAAATAAGGTAAAGAGGTCATGGCACTAAGATGTTATTCTAATTCAGAGAACTTCTTTTGAATCCAGGTTGGTGTGGAAAATGTCTGTGGCCTGGGAATCTGATGATGAGATGTGGCTCAGAATTGGTTTATTTTGGAAGGTAGAGTTGCCTTTATTTGTTCAGTGAACCCTGAGTTCACTTAGTAGACTGGTCTGCCAGAGACTTTGCATTTTATGTGGCATTTTAAGGATTCCAAGAAAAGAGAGTGGTTTCTTCCCACAGTAGTTGTAATGTAGATTATCAGTGTTTTTCTCATCAATGAGTGAAGGAATGGAGGTTAAGAATTTTTCTCATTAGAGATATGTAAGTAGAATTTTCTCTGGTGTATGTGCATTGATATTGAGACTAGTAGATTGATAAAGTGTAGGAATATAATAATCTCTCTGGTTTTTAGTGTTCT